AAATGTGAATGCTAAAGCTCTCTCTTTTCCAAACACAAAATGTCTTGGCATCTTTCTAAAATAGGTTGTCGAGAGCAATGGCAGAAAATGTGGTATCTTCCATTCTTGCATTTATTCGTATAACAAGTATCTCTGATAACTGGAAGAATGGCAGTAAAACTACTGGTTACTTTTTACTATCAAGATAATCTCTCTTGACACAAGAAATCTTGCAATGGGATCACCACTCAAGATCCTGTGCTGTGATACTTTGAGAAATGCCCATTAGAGGCCCCAGATAACTTTTCTCAATTTACAATTCCCATTCTAATAAGTACTGAAATATTTTAGTCTTCTTTTCTTCTACACTATTCTTTTCTCCTGCCAAATACCTGATCAATGGATAAGTATCATTCCTTCTTGCCTGAAGGCAGTTTCCAAGGCAGTGAATAACTCTGCATATAGTCTTGAAGGACAAACAATACTAAACATACCCAGATTGAAATAAAACATTTTAGACATTCTTGGCAAGACTGAAAAATAAGAAAGCAGAAATACAGATCTGAGTCCATTTGACTATTGCAGCTGTCTCAGTAACTGGACTCACATTATAATTTGGAAAATTGGACACGTTCACTTAAAAACAGTCTCCAGTTTAACAGCCACAACAGTGGGTTCTCAGATCTCAGTGCTTAAGACTAATAACCAGCAAATCTCAAAATCTATGAGAATTTGTCTCACTTCCCACCTACTCTAAAATAGGCACTAAAGGAAAAATCAGAGTGGGCATTCTGAAGAAATTGGTGGCAGATGACTCAGTAACTGATAATCAATAGCCACATTTCGGAAAAATATGCAAGAAATAGCTAAGAAGCCACCTGCTCACAACATTTCCCAGTAAGTTCAGTTAGTTACTGGATTTCAGGTAGAATCTTACTTAACTCAAAGTGAATATAAATATTTAAGAATCACAGAAGCATCTACCTTTTATGAAATTTGACCAATTCAGGATACTGTTAGTGATTTTAGAAGAAAATTTATACAACATTATAACTACTTCTCTTATTTCAAAGCATCATATTTTGTTTCAACCAATGATTCTTCAACTGATGTACAGGTTACTTAGCAAGGAATGGATTTATTATTAATGAGATAGACAAATATTGTAATCGATGATCCTGCTACATTTCCTGCTTTCTCCTTTAGAAGTAATGCCAGAGGCCATGTTTTCAGAGCCCCTACTTGTAGCAGAAGAACTAAAAGAACCTTCCCCTTACTATGCAAAGATAATTCTGCAAGTGCATCAAGTTTTGGAGGCCTAGCAGAAATGTGGATATGTAAAAGTACGAAGTACACAGTAGTACTACCATGGATTTCTTTACCCTGTCTCCCATAGTGAAAGATGGGTACGTCCTTCGCACTTTTTGAGAAGTGAAGGTCATTTATTTTCAAAACAAAACTACCTAACACATAAATCTTCATGTTTTAGTGTTCGTGACTTCAGAACAGGCACTTTTCAATTGTCTGCTTTTCTACAGATGCTTTCTCTTGCATGTAAATAGAATGTCCTAGGCCTGCATAACTTGTTACCTATAAAAAACAACAACAACAAAAAAAACCAAAACAAAAAACCCCCAGATACAAAAGGGGAAACATGTAACCCATCAGTTAGGATCAAGCATTGATTTTTCCCCAACGTAACATTAGAAACTTAGGGAAAGGAAAACCAGAAAAAACACAGCCATGCAAGAATGATCATTCAGAAAGGGTGATTATACTCCTCAGAACAGCACACACCTTCCCAAAATAAGTACCAGCAATAATTTTGAATGTGAGCAGAGGCTGAAAGAGAAAGGTAAGCACCTAAAGAAAATTATTTACATTACTATATTTAATAATTCCTATTTAGGAATTTTAGTAGTATATATATACAACCATATCTCTGAGCAGTTGTAAGATTTGTGCTCATGTCCTGTGGGCTCTTCATCAGCAGAAATGCAACTGAACACATAAAGCTGCTAGATGCAAGCTGCACCCACCCACCCTAACATTTCCTAGCTCAGTCTAAAGACATATGGATTCATTATAGACATCTACCACAGCAGCAGAATTTCCAACAATGCTGCTTCTTCAAGACTTAGGTCCAGACACAATTCCAGGAAGACAGAGTATCTCATATTATGCAGAGATCCCAAGAACACAGCCGAGGGGAATGGAAAAAAGAAAAAAATTGTGATGGGTTTATTATGGCTGTGCAATGCCAAGTCAGTGCAGTAAAATCTATCTGATGAACTAACCTAGGGAAAAACAATAGAGGAGACAACAAAGATACTAGGAGAGAGTTCAGCAATTTTGGTGATCACTGGTACAAGGAGTAAGACTGAAAGGATAGACATACACAAAAAATAAAAACACCAATTGAAGGTAGTGAGAAGACACAACCTTTTGTAAGCCAGAAATTAAGTATGCTTCATGATAAAAATCCCCACCAAATACTTTTCTAAATCCAGCGAACTGGTGAAACACACCCAACGACCACACTCAAGCAGGACATACAAGAAAACTGCAATGCTTGAAAAATGTTCCCCGACAACTTCTGGCAGTAGAGAACGCCTGTGCCTTAAAGGTGACAATGTCTGGGCCTCAGTTCCTCAGGAATTTAAAGGAGTGTATTTTAAGGTTCCCTCTCAACTTCCCTCTCATAACAGTCCTATTAAAAAAGCATGCTGTTCTTAGCCTTAGTGCTTCTTCATGTATTTATCATCCATTTTATGCTCCGTCCCTCCTGGCTTTTATATTCCTCTTCCTACTTCATTCCGGTAGCGTCTGTCACGCCTTCTCATACTTGAGGACAGCAAATCCTCACACTGTGCTGAACTCCAATCTCCCTGCTCGTGCTTCTCGTATGCCTGACTCGCCTCCACCCCCGGGTGCACCAGCACACATTTCACTGCTCCGGCGGACAGACCCCCACCGTACCGACGAACACAGTAACCGCACCCCAGGTTCCTCTAAGTGCCCGGCAGGCTGACGGCGGCCGAGCGCGGGGCAGCCGCTCCC